GCGGGTACCTACCCGTACGCAGCGCACCCGACGCCTCCTTGCGCGCCGCGGATCGATCCCGAGGCGGGCCATAGGGAGCGGAGCGAGTAAAAACACGGCGGAACGCAGAGAAAGGGTCGCGCGCCGCGGTCGCCACCGCGGAGTTGTTACGAAATATAGCGGAAAACAGAAAGAGAACAACAGAAATGGCAACGCAATAAATGGAAATAACAAAGGATTGCGCGGCGTTGCTTCGCGCCCTGTGTAACGCAGACATTAAATCATTAATTCCGACTCGACCAGATTGCTACTTGGCTCCTTCCGTGAACAACCCCCGGTGCAGTAGGAGACGCCAATGGAGGGAGGAGGGAGGGAGGGAGGGGGTTCGAGCAGGTCAGCGGGACGAAAAGTGTCGCCAACTGCGGGGGGCGGGCCGCCGTGGAGAGGAGGGGGGGCGGGTGCAGCTCCGGGGTGAAGGGGGGGGGGTGAATATGACGTTGTCGCGTGCATTTGGAAGTAGGGCATTGATTCGAGACCAGGGCCGGGGAGCTCAGCGCCCTGCCTCCACCTTCGGCTTGCGCTCTTTATATTTCCGTCTCGCTTTCGCTCTCGGCTCGGCTCTCGGTTTGAGTCACTCGAAGAAAGTACTTTGCATAAAGAAGTCGCCATCCCATTGTAAGCATTGATTGTAAGCATTGTTAGATCAACTACTGTAACCATATGTAAATACGCAACACAGCATGGTTGGAAAACACTCTCAGTTTTAGTCTTATTCAACAAACTTTTAAACTATCGAACATTACGACGTTAGCGTGGCCCGTAAACTACCAATGTTAGCATAATATTGCGGGTTGTATCGTCGGCTCTTTCATCCTTAGTTTCTCGGGGTGACGCGAGGGACGGGGGAACGTTTCGGAGAACGTCGGGCGCCAACGTTCCTGGTTAGTTCGAGCCTCCTCCCCTGCAGATCGGGCCGCCGGCTCTGCGCGGGGCGGGTTGGCCTAACCGGCGCGTCGCAGGCGCTATCATTAGCTTGGCCTTAGCAGTGTGTGACGTCGTGAAGCAGTCAAGCCTACACCACCAGACATGTTTAAAGACGGTCATGTTGATTAGTGAAGGAGATTTGAACGCAGCGCCGGCTCTTCCACAACCTTATCCACAACGTGCTTTTTAAAACCACATGGTTTTGAATCAATAACAATGTGCCGCCAACGACGCGGGCTTCCCACTGCGCCTCCCGTTTCTTTAAAGCAACCATCTGTATATTAACCGCAAGTAATAGCTAAGATGCCAAGATTTTAATCTACTAAAAAGAAAGAAAAACTACGCACTACTTATCACCGTGCCATGTCTGAACTGCCTCATTCTTTTTCCCTCATTCCCACTTCACATGCGGGTTCTACAACGAGAATCCGTAAACACTTTTCGAGCCCGGTGCAGCAATTTACCTCCCGCCCCGCGACCCCGCCCTTCCGGGACACATGAAGAGGATGCAAAAGATTCCCCCTCACCCGTTGGCGTGCAGGGAATCGGCGGCGGCGGCGGCGGCCAGTCACTATGATGAATATTTTTCAGCAGCACCAACGAGTCGAGGAGGGGTTGCTGACCAGAGAGAGGAGGGGAGGAGGGGGAGAGGGGGGAGAGGAGAAGGGTGGCGGCGCCGCCGCCACTGCCTCCTAGACGGCGCGGCGGTGGCCAGCACTGCTATCGTCCACGCCGTGACCCAAATCTCGACAACTACCCAACTACCCGAGCCGGGCCCCCCTGGACGGCGGTGGCGGCGGCGGCGCCGGCCGCAAGGGTTGTTGTAGAGCTACCCACCACACTGTCCCCAACTACTTGCATCGAGCCATACGGCGCGGCGGCGCGGGGACCGACCGTCGCAGTGAGAGACCCGACGGCGTGCAAAGTTATTCCTGAGCCACTCGTGCCGTCCCCAACTGCAGCAGTGGCATGCGGCTGTGGGCATGTAGTAGCGTCGTGTCGCCCCAGCCCCACACCACCGAACAGTTGGGTTTCGACCTGGAGGGCGGGTGAACGAACACTGAACACATTTCAGTTTAAGATGTGTCGCTTTTCAACCCATTTCAATGCCGCCACACTGAACGTGTTAACCAAGCCCCCACCCCCTCCCCCCGGCCACTGAGCGTCAGTTTTTAAATTATTCCAGTCAATTATTACCGGCGTCGTGTCGCTGGACGAGTCTTGGCTCGATAATGAGTGTCATTGCCGCCAGAGCAGGCAAGAGCGCAAGGAGGAAGTTTGCATACCCCCCCCCCCCACACACGGACCGGGTGTCGGCCGCTGGCCACTTGGCCTCAATACACAAACGGTCTCTTTGGCTTCGGCCGCCAGACCAACTACCCCACTCCTCCTCCCTACCAAGGCCCAGTATCAGCGGAGATCTCAAACACTTGCGTGAAGGTAGCGTTGGCCGTGCAGGGCGCTAGCCGCAATAACCCACATAGCAGGGGGGGGGGGGAGGGCTGCGTCGCGAGGCTCCGCGAAATGTCTTCCCGCACGCTCCTGCTCCCGCACCTCCCCCATGTTCCCTCACATAACTTTCCCTCGTCACTCATATGGGATGTGGGTGGTGGTGGAAGCATCGCGAAACACAAAACAGACTAATAAAGTCTACAACGAAAGTTGGCCTGCTGCGCTGCTGTTTCCATTTCCCAACTGACCTGGTTTTTAAAAGACCTACATTCTCGTTTTCCGGGCGTGGACACAAAGTCATTAACGAAACGCACACCCCCCGGGCGACAAAGGCTGCGGTGGCGGCACTCGAAAGGGTTGGATGACGAGGAGGAGGGGGAGGGGGACGGGGAAAGGGTGCTCCTGGAGGGTGGCACGCTCGCGTGGGCGCAGGGAGACTGGGACTCCCCGGGCGGCCGGTGGCGCGCGTGACTCAAGGGGCCTCCTCGTCCTGTGCTCCGCACCGTACACCCTGCACCCCGTCCTGACCCTAGCCGGGCTCCTCGTCCGGGGCGGGGCTCCTTCGCGAAAGGGCGCACGAGTCAGGGCTGTGGGCGGGGGAGGCGCTGCATGACTGCATGCGCACCGGGTGTCGGACGGGCTGACATGCCGCTGCATGAGGACGACGCCGATGTGCTGCTTGTTGTGCAACATGAAAGGTGCTCCTCCCGCTCACCCCTCCTCCAACCCTCCAACCCCGCCTCCAAGGTCGGTCGACCCGGCGCGGGGGGCCGGCCCGGCGCCGAGGGACGCGGTGGAGGGGAGGATGAGGTAGGAGGGGCAGTAGACGCGATCCGTGATTAATTATTCGCTGAGACACTCCCACTCCCGCCCTCCTCTCACACGTGCCACTCACACGAAAACAAGCAAGCAAACAAACGAACAAACAAAACAAAGCAAAAACTCAAGACAAAGCAAAAACCCACAAACAAACAAGTAAACAAACAAACAAACAAACAATCCAAAAACAAAAACTAATCGAACAATAAACAGACAAAAAACCCCTCTTCTCCGGTGCGGTCCCCGATAACCTTTAAGCTCCACCCTCGCGGTGCGGCGCCGATGCATGCATGCCGCATTCGACATCCGTTACCTGCCACTCCCCATCAAAATGAATTTGTCCTCATTCAATATCATTTTGGTTTGCTTGTTGATTCGATCCCTTTCGGACATAGAGTGCCTGAACCTACATCAGATCTGCTTTTGATCTCGCCTCCGTGTCCGAAGGGTTATGTTTGCGTCAGTTATAACCCCAAATCTTCCTATTCAAAAACGAGTTTAGATCGACTGCGATCGTGAGTGTTCTCTGGATCTTAAACACGGGAAAGGGAAGGGGGGCATAAATCAATGCGCACTTACCGGGTACTCCAAATTTTAGTGGACAGTAACATTTCACCACCTCCCACATACTCCGGGGCTCGGCTCGACCTCGACCGGAAAGAGAAGAACGGGCGCGGGACTGAGCGGAGCTGCGAGGGG